AGGTACCCTTTCTATTCCAAGGGTTCACATTAGTTTTCATGAGTCTGGAGAACATGAAACGTGTATGTGCAGGTAGTTGTGCATTTTGAGGGATGACTGACATATATTTTGAGGTTAACCACTATTAGCAGCATTTGAAGAGAAGCCCTATAATCACGCCCACAGTCTGCTTTCTGTCTCAGGACCAGAATTTGGTTATGGGTCTTGAAGATTGGCTTTTTGTTTATTAGATGCGTCACTATGTCCGAAACTATTTTGGTTTTGTGTCTGCTCTGTGTAAGTGGTTCTAATTCTCTCCCTTAAGGATTTATATACGCCTATGTGTGTGTTAATTAACCTGTGGGTAATTCAATATATGGATAATAAATTGTTTTCAAGGGAAAATGTCGCTTCTTTATCCATGTAATCATAAGTTATTTTTAATAAATACACAAGCACTTTGTAAATATCATCTTTTCAATACTCCAGTAACCTACTACTTCCCATTCCCAAGTATTACTTTGAGGAAGAAGGGTGTTATCTGATTTATCAAGCTAAAATTTAGTAGTAAAGAAATATCTGAGATTTAGTAGTAAAGAAATAGATGAGAACTGTGAAGTGAATCTTTACAGATATTATATAATAAATGATGATACTTTTTCAGACAGTAACAGAAATATCTGGCATAACTTGATAAAGATCCAGAGCTATTCTTTAGCTTGCAGCACAATCTCTCCCAGGGTACAGCATTCAGATTCCAGCTGTAGCTTGTGACAAAGACTATCTCCTACTACTGAAATCATATTGTCATTTGTTGTTCGGGAGGAATAAAAACAGGACTGTTAAATCCATTTTTCAAAAAACATCCAAAACCTAAAGGTGCTAGGGAAGAGTACAACTGGAGCTTTTTTCCAGTGAGTTCAAGGTAAAAATTCCCATTGATTTAAATGACAAATCCAAACACAAGAGGGAAAACATAAGTCTTGTATTTAACCTCCCGTGCTTACTGGTTCTGCTGCAGAATATTATCAGAATCTTTTGTGCATCATTTAGGGAGCATTTACATTTCATAATATATCTACAGTTGGAAGTTTAGTTTCTTACTTAAGAAATGGGAAAAGCGTGGATTAATATTCTCTTAGCCAGTGAAAAGATTGACCTCCTACCACCTTTTCTAATGTTCTATAGGCTGTGTTTATAAGGGAGGAAAAAAAAGTTAAAAGTCTTTCTTCAGGTGTTCAATAGGGCCTCACCTCCTTGACCCTGACTACAGTACCTTAAATATAAGATTTTAAATTTATATTATACCCATTTGGCCCTTGTTTCATACCCTGCATAGCTGAGTTGGACTGTCTGCCAGTTCTGTTGCATGTTCTGACCCAGCCGCACCACAACATCTATTGGTGTGTGAATTCCTCACACAGAGCTAAAATACCCACCCTCTCCATATAGGATGCATCATGAACCACAAAAAAAATGCTGATTCTGACATAAAGAAATTGTACTTAATTTTGAAGAATAAAGGTGAGGACAGGCACGAAGCAACAATTGGAAAACAGGAATTGGGAATACAGGATACAGCATTGTAACAGCTTTTGGTACGTGTGAAAACTGTATCCTTAGAGCACATTTTTAAATTTTTTTTCTTATAAAATACGATTATGTAAATGTTTATAAAAAGTGAGAAAAATACCACGGTGATAAAATTCTTAGCCCTATTTTCATGCCAAGTAGAGACGTTTCAAAGACAGACAAGGCAGCAAAAAAAACCCTCCAAAGATTCACCATTAAATAAGCTCTGCAGGAGAGTTAAGATCTGTTCCCACAGATACAGCAATTTGGTTTGTAGATTTCTCTGAATGTGTAATTGAAAAAAACCCCTTTACAGGTCATAAGGCTTTAGATATTTTTAGTGCTTTTCAGTTTTTGTGAAGCTGATTGGGAATTTACTTTAATACTGACCTAAAAGGATAAAGAAAAACGTATCTGGTATCCAGTTTCAAGTTTACTTGCCTTATTAGTTATAGATTTAATTCTGAAGGACAGTGAATAAAATTTATTCTTTTTAAGCAAATAGATTGTTTTAATCAGTAGCCTACTCTATCTCCCTTTTAAAACAACACTAAATATGTACATACGTATGTTTTATGTACATATCCATTGCTGCTATTATTGAGCTATCTAATTTGGATGTATATGTGGATTCCCAAACTCATTTTTATGTGACATTTGTTTCTGTTCCTAGTTAAAGCCATGTTGCTTGGTGCAAGGTGCACTGTTATAATAACAGATGGCTTATTTCAATTCATAATGACTGGGAAAAATAACAATGAATCATGTAAGCAAGAACAAGCACTTCACTTTCTCTACAAGTTACTCAGTGCCTGCCAATTTGAAAAACAGCTGAGACCTCTGGCTCCTCATCAGAAATGTAAGGATGCTATCAGATTAGACTGCAACAGTACATCAAATATAGGAAGAGCAAAACTAGCAAGACTCAAAGCCTAAAAAGCTTTCCATCTGGTCATTCAGGGTTTTCCTCCTTAGCAACAAAAGGAAAGGAAATATAACATAAATCTATAGTGTTGGCAGGCAAATAAAGGAAAAGCGATCCCTGTAGTCATTTCAGGACACAGTTGTACCCAGGCACCTCACTGCATCCATCTCACTCAAATGGAAGACTTTTGCCTCTCACAAAAAGGAGGGTCTGGGTTACAGCCCCACTGTCACTGTTCACTTCTGAGTGATTTGGCTTCTTTTTAAAGAGGCATAAGTGTGCAGAACATAGAATTCATTGAAAATGAGGAATTCATTTGGAGAACTTAATCCTAAAAATTAGGAATTTGATCAGATTGCCTGCAGTTAATATTCTGCATAGAAAATTTATTGAATGGAAAGTTAGGAGATAACATACAAATAAATAAGTGTATAAAACTTTACTTTGATGTGTTTCCCACCTGTTCAAAGCCTTCAGATTTATCTCCATTTCTTTTTTCTCAAGTCTTTACATCTTCTCTCTATTCATGCTGAATCCTTCAAGGAAATGTATACTCTGAACAGAAGACCCAGAATTTAAACAGATGACTGTTTCTAAATCACTGTATAAACATAATGTGACCCATACAGAGCCTTCCCCTATCACTAAGTAGCACTGGAACAATTTTGATATTTAATGACTTGAAAAAACAGTTGATAAATGAATAGAAATTGACCTTTAGAAACAGACTACTATTTATCAATTCCCTTTGCACTGCTCAAAGTTGTCCATATCAATGGAATAACACAGACCTCTTCTTAGGTACATGTATTTTTATTCACTTATTTATTTCTTTCTATTTCTTACTTCTTCCTATTTTTGATCCCTTCCTAAGGCACAAATGTTGCTGTGTGACCTTATTACCTACATAATTCAAAAATCCCTCTCAGAGCACAAGACATAACACCCAACATTAAAGCAGGCATTGCCCTGTCACTGGCTTTTCTCTTCCCAGAATAGATAAGAGTAATTTTGAGCTGCATGGCTTAGTGGAAGGCGTCCCTGCTCATGGCACAGGGGTTGGAATTAGTTGGTCCCTTCCAACTCCAACCATTCTATGATTCTATTAGAACAGAGGGTGTAGGCAAAGATGATCAGAATAAGCAGAAAACATTTTCTTTTTCTCCAATAGCATTTACAAGGCCTCTCAAATGACATGGAAGTCTTTGTAAAGAACAATTATTTTGATCCGACTCAGACAGAAGAAAAAAATTGCCCAAAAATAAACTAATACTATTTTTTTTATACATATGGATGTGTGTATGTGGTAGTTGGGCCTGTCTGAAAGGCTTGCATATATGGCTCCAATGGCATGATTGCAGTATTTGGGCACCTGAACTACTTCCACAGAAACTGAGGACTCTAACCTCTGAAAACAGAGGGTCCTCATGATGAATAATCAATTTGTTCCCAGATTGGCCACCTGGCTGAGAAAACAGAAGCAGAAGGAACAAAGACACAAAAAAGATTGAAATATTTGCTATGAATATATTTCAAGTTAAAGTATGTTTCATTTCTACATTTATAAATGAAACTACATTTCAGTTTTGAAAAGGCATTTTTCATTCAAAGGTGACACAAACTGAAGGAAAGAAAGAAAGAAAATATTAAAACAGGGCACCAAGCAGCTAAAAAGAAAGCAATCAGATTGCTTTGGAAAAGAAAAAAAAAAAGCATTTTGAGGTGATTCAAATGTTTATTTTTGTGGCTGTTTCTCTGCTTTAATAATACCCTACAAATCTTTAGTTTTCAGTTCAATGTCCACTGTGTATGTTTTACCAGTGAATTACTAAACTGAAAAATGTATTGCTTTTCAGCTCCTCTGTCTTCTCCTTGTTGGTTTCTGCTAAACATCATCCTTTTTTCTTGTCAGTGGCTACTGTGAGCATGTCCAAATGGGATGTAAAGATGTGATGTATGAGTTTAAATTGCTTCTGAAGTTCACTCATAGCTTATTTTGCCCAGGAAAAATTCAGGAACAGTACCAGTCCAGATTCTCAGCAACCATTCCCCACACACTTGGACACATAAAAGTGTGCAAGTACTAGTAGTTCATTCTTCTCATCAAAATGTTATCTGTGCTATATATCCCATTGCATATTTATGAAGTGTGTGGGTAATGGCAGATGGGAGCCTATTGTAGCAGCAGTCTTGTTTATCTCACTTTCTATGACCTGGTTTTGTTATCTTTTTTTTTACTCCTTTTAGTGAATACTGCACTTTTTATTGCTTAAACAGATTCATTTTAATGTCTTTCTTTTCCTACAGAAAATACATACCAGGCAGCAGCTGACTTCAACAACATAGCTGTGTATCTGTATACATTGATAATTGAAGATGCTTTATAAATTGTGAACCTCAAAGTCCAAAACTTATCATTGTAGCAGACAATCAGGAAGTTTACCTATGCATTACATCATTAAAAAGTATCAGCACATATATATCAATATAGTAGGAGAGAAGGTATTAAAAACGATGTATTTACCTGCCAAGATACTCAATACACTCACAGGGTACTTTTCTCTTTTACTGAAGACTGTGATACAATAGCTCTTTAAGCTTGCCCTGGAAGCCATCTTCCTAGAATTCCTGCTGGTTTTCCTAGGAAACCTTCCCTACATGGCAATGGCTTCACAATTCTGGCTATATCATTTGGAGAGCCGAAGATAACTCAAGACCAGAACTCTATGTGTCTGCCTAGTGTTGCTCTGTATCTAACTCAGGCTGGAATATATCAGGGGCACAGCTGGAAGACATTAGATGCACAGCTGGAACACATTGAGTGCACAGGTGGAGTGTATCATTCAATTTAGTGTGGTCCACAGAGAGTCCAGTGTCTGTGCTGAGGCTTCTCTGACACAAGAATCAAAGTGGGGTTCACAGAGTGCTCTGGAAATTCAGGAACCAGGAGTTCTAAGAGTGTGTAGTCGAGATGTGAACTAGCCTGCTAATACAGATGGACCCTCTTCTGACCGTGTGGGCCTACTGCATGTACCATCTGCTCCTAAGCAAGGAATAGTTACCATTACTAAATATTAAATGTTTAGAGATGTAGTTTATGAAATTAAATTTTGTGAGGAAACACTAAGTGTATTTCAAACTGAGTGTAAGAAGAATCTAATTTTCTTCAGAATATCTGTTCCTACATTACTGATGACCCAGATTTTCTAATTAATAATTTCTGTAATCCATATTTAAATTTATTTAAATCCATATTTAAATCCATATTTAAATGAGAGTTGTTTTGCAATTTTTAGAAGCAAAATGTATCTAAGCTAATACTTAGAAATCTTAGTGACATCCATGCCTTTGGCATACCGTGAGCCAAAGGAGAACACATTTGTGTTTCATTTGCAAATGCATATTGAAAATGTTTCGCTTGAACTACTTATTGTGCCCAGCTAATATTCCTAAGCTCTCTCTGCAGTCAATGAATGCAGGTTATCTCTAGGAGGCACTCAGCAAAGTATTTAACTGACCTTGTCAGCTAAGTGATTAAAATTGATAGGTATGTCAAGCCTCAAATTTTCTTTTGCTTTTTTCTACCCTGCAGGAACTAAAATTATGAAACAGGAGGAATACACTGTTGACATTATGCAAAACAAAATATTACTAACTAAATTGGAAACTTCTCTTAGCAAATATTAGGGAGCTTATATTCAGTTTAATTAAAAAAAAAAGGGGGGAAGGAAAAACCCATAGATTTTGTGCAAAAAACTATAAAACACACATGAATGATGTCTCCAGCAGAGTAACAGAATAAGTGCTCACAGGGGGCTTTGCTATGAGAAGCTCACTTATTTGCATGATTATAAAGGGGAGGTATGTGTATAGGGGCACAAAGTACTTTTTAGAACTCTGTTCAGGTTATAAAATGCCCATATTCTCTATTTTATGTTCAAAATTTAATTAAGAATTCTTTGATTTACTCACTAGTTCTAATTCTTGATATATTTCCAGTATGCTTTCCTCCCTGGTTTGTATTCAGAATTCACGTGGGCTTGGTTAGAGAAAAGTATTTATTGCATTTTTAATATGTATTTTAATATGCTAAATCTAGAATATGAAAGGTGCTATGACAGCCTCATAATGCTATATATGTGGAACTTTGTTAACTAAATGCCATGTACATCTCAAAATCTGCCTTTGGTACATAAATTGTAGCTTGTCATTTCCAGGATTCTGCAAAAAAAAAAAAAAAGAAGAGATGCATGAGAATGAAAAGAGAAGTATCTGGCAATTTTGTTCGATCTTATGAAATCCTGACTTCTTTATCCTTCGTTGCAAAGCCACTCCGATTTTACTAGGCAAGAATCTCCCCATGTGATGATGTGATTTTCACTATACACATATGAGTACAGTTCTGTTTAGGTTAACAAAAACCTTCAATTGAGGTCTTACATTTGTTTGTGAGCATCCTAAATCCCAATGTAAGCAAATAATATTTTTGCAATCTGTTCCTAATATGTAGCATTGAAATAAAAAAGAAGGTAAAAAAAAATGATAAAAAAGTATCGCTGGGAACACGTAGAAGTGGTATGTTCTGTCACTGAATGCCTCAAAGACTTTTATAAGACTTTTCAGGCTGAGAACAGGGAGGAAATTTCAAAGCAGTTATTGCAATATAGTTTAAAACATTTGTTGAAGCCCAAATCTTGGTTTTTGCTTAATCTGAATAAACCCTGAGCCATGAAGTTTAACTGGCTCAGGGTAGAATGAAAGTACTACTGGCAAAGTAGAATGAAAAAAAAACATGCTGTTTTGACGTGGAAATTTATCAAAAATGCATATTTATCAGCTCTGTATTTGTCAATTTAGATAACAGACAGTGTATCTTGCAGTACAAACTACATATCATAATTAAACAACATGGATTAGAATCTGATTCTTTATGGTTAGCGTGTGCTATAATTCAAAAAATAAGCCAAATGTCAAGTTTATCAGGAAAAATCACTAACGAGTACTCTGGGATCATAAAAAAAAAAAAGGAGAAGAAAAGGTGATATTTTTCAGTTAAGGTTGCTGCTGTTTGCAAGGTGCTCACCTCTAGTTGTTATCTCTACCAGGCACAAACTCTTAATTTTGCTGTTTGAGCTTAATTGTTCTGCAGGCACAGCAATAAAATGCAATGGGAATTGCCAAGGTTGCTCTGCTCTCCAGGATGATACAGTTTACAGAGCCCAGGACAGAGATGTGGGAGCAAGAGCTAAAGTGTGGTCAGGAAAAGAGATCTAGAAGAGGTATGATCTTTCAAACTAAGTCTGACTAGAATTGCTGATCCTCTCAGTGTACCTTGCAAGACCAAGTTTTGGTAAATCTCTGACACTGTACCTTGATGTACAGGTATAGGACCAGACCTGCCTGTAGCTAAACAATTAAGAAGATCCCAAGAGTTCAATAAGGTTCAACTTTCAAAATGTAATGTTCATCTCTTTGGTTCATAAATTGTTCTGTTTACCTTATGAGGTAGTGATGGGCTCTTCTGTTTGGAGAGAAGTCATTGGGCAATTCTGTTGTACTTGGTTATTTTTTTTTCTGTTAGCACCACTAAATCCTTTTGACTTCTGGCGAGCGAAATGAGCTACACATTGCAATACACATGTTGTCAAGCCCTTTGCCAAGGTATCCTAGGCAAAGAGGTTGCTGTTTCACCAGCAGAAGTAATACACTTCCCAGAAAATTCCAATTTCTATGCCAGATAATGCTTTCTACTCAAGAAAATTCCAATGTCACAGATAAAAATTACTGTGTAGAGAAATGCTTCACCAGGTAGGGCTGTACAGAGATAGATAAAAATAAAGAGGGCACTCAAGGTCTTATTTACAACCCTTGAACACACTTGGCTTTTGCATGAAACCTCTATCTCATGTGCTAAAAACCAATAAATAAGCAAATAACACCTGGCTCGTATGTGAATCACTGCAGCACTCACCAAAGGGAAGTGACCTGTCAGCCAGGCAGCTCCTCCATAGCAGCTGAAAACAATATGTGCTCATCAAAGGTCCCCTAAGGCATCATTTCAGAGGGAAAAAATAAAATATTCCTGTCATTACTGGCACATAGTTGAGCTGCAACTACTGCAAGGAAGTTCACTTGTTAGAACTTTGTGAAGTTCAGTAAGGACAAGTACAAGGTCCTCAGACTCTACTGCTTAAACTGTGGTGTGAAGTTTTGCCCCTTAGGAAAAAACAAACAAACAAACAAAACAAACAAAACCATAGCAAAGAAACAAAAAATAATCCTGTCTATGATAAACTCAGCCTTACTTATCCACTCTGGAGGATGAAGTTTGATCATAAAGAGATTAAACAGACTTAACCTGACATACTGAAACAACCCCAGGGGATCCCAAATCTTGTTATAAGTAGCAGACAAAAGAGTTACATCTAACTAGAATTTCATTTTCAGTCTTCAGGATCTGACAAATGCTATTATACAAGATAGGTCTGAAGGTCAAAACATACTGGTCATGAGCATTCCCTAATTCAAACTCTCCTTTCCAGAATAAGGATTAACTGTCACTGAGTTTTGCACCCATACAGTTTACCCACATTGACGAAGTATCAGAAAAATTCACTAGTAGCACATTATGGTGTCAAAGCTTCATCCCCAGTTATTCAAATTTATATTTTGTTCACTTCTTAAATGTACTGCAATAACATTCACAATAAAATGGTACAAATGGGAACAATGAGCTCAAAACTAAAATGTTTGACCAGTGCTCGTTCGTGGGAAGCAAGTACTTTGACAGGGGTTACAGGATGAATGGTAGTGTTAATGTTTATACTATGTACATCTCCAGAGTGTTATTTTAATGACACTGTACCAGTTAAAGAACATACTGGAATTTACTAAATTCTTTACTTGTTTGGGAAACTGAGTGAATAATCATATTGGCATCTAAAAGGAGAAGATGCAAAAAACGAGCTCGAGAGTCAGAGACACATCCTCATAGAGGTACAGGCAATGCTCTAACTTTATTCCAAAAATACACGCATTATCAAGGGTCCTACAGGGTTCACACGCTCTATTCTAACTTTCTATTGGTTACATTTACTTTCACACACTATATCTATAACTTCATTGGCTCTACTAGCCAAGGCACATTTCCAGGTCCCCCCATCTTCTGGTTTCTCACACCCTGGATAACAACCTCCATCCTTGTTTTCCTCTATGCAGCTTTCTGATATCTGCTGCTCAAGGACACACATCTGCTGCTGGAGAACACAGGTCCCTGCCGTCCGGCACGCAGGTCGGATTGTGCAAGCAGGCCTGATGCAGTATATGTCCTGCATCATCTAAGATTTTCTCAACAGGCATCTATCACTAGCAGTCAGAAGATAATCTAGTTATTTAAAAAGCAAAACACTGATACGATGCTCATTCCATGTTAATTGATGCTTACAGCTGTGCTTTTGTCATGTATGGGTTGGGGGTGTCACACCTTATCCGCGGCTTACATTTGAATGAGACAAAAAATCTACTTATGATGATAAGTTTTAACATGGATTATACTCTGAGACTCTTAACATACCAAAAATAAATCTTTGCTCTTTTGTTAATCATTGCATAAGGGAGGCTTCTTATACTCTGTTTACATCTGTGTTAAACACAAGTTTCATAGGAAACCATATGTATTTCATTATGTGTTCAAACAGTTCCTACCATGGAGCATCTAAACAACCTTCTGATACAGTGAAGAAATAAAGAAAATAGTGATAAAAGAGAAAGATTATGGGTAAAAGGATCTACATGTTGATATTTATTTAACACACAGATAATCTAGCATGTATATAAAATA